TATAAAATCACTGAATTAAACGGGTAGGATAGCTGTAATGGGGTAGCGCTGTTGCCTCACAGCGAGGATGGCCTGGATTCCCAGCCGGGGCCACCAGGGTCATTTCTGTGTGGAGTTTGCATGTTCTCCCCGTGTCTACGTGGGTTTCCTCCGGGTACTCCGGTTTCCTCCCATAGTCCAAAGACATGCAGTCAGGCCAACCAGACACGCTAGATTGCCCCTTGGTGTGACTGTGTGTGTGATTGTGTATGTATGTCTGTCTGGACTGGCGACCTGTCCAGGGTGTATCCTGCCTTCCGTTTGATGACAGCTGGGATAGGCTCCAGCGCCCCACTGCGACCCAGAAGGATAAGCAGTTTAGATGGTGTGTGTGTGTGTGTGTGTGCGCGCATGCGCGCATTTTATCGCAGATGAGTGGCAGCAGCGTCTCTTGTGCTCCAAACAATAGCAGTGAATGAGAGCCTTCCATTTCACTTACCACATCACTTCCATTTGATTTATTAATAAAAGATATTGGAAGTAAATTCACTATGGATCATTACAGATACTTTGCTGTAAAAGTACCAAGTCCTCAGACAGTAGGAAAATAGAAATCCTGTATAGAAAAAAGATGCATCGAGATGCATCGATAATTGTCTTATAATCGCATTGCAGCCCTCTGAATCGTAATCGAATCGAATCGTGAGGTGCCTAAAGATTCCCACCCCTAGTAAACAGAGAAACAAATAGCAGTATAATGAATGAAAAAACAGGTATTTTAATTACTCAGGTCAGCCCTTATCATTACACTAAAATGTTGCACTGGACTGTTCCTTTAAGCACCTCCTTACAAAGACATGCTGAATTTGTTCTCAAACAAGATCATCTGAACTACATAGAAAAAGGATCCATTTTCACAATGATACAATCCCACAGCTCTGTTATGTGGCAGAGAAGAAGATAACACTGAAATAAGGATGCTCTAAACACCACAGGGGGCACCAATTTTATATATTGTCACAATGCACACATTTGTCATGCTAATAAAACACAACCAGAATGCATTCAGAGAAGAAGCAGAGTGCTGTCTGAGAAAAAAGAATTGTGTCATCTGAGGTCAAGATGCAAACTCAAAACCTGAGCAAAACCTGTGAGTGACAATGTGTGTCTACATGACATCATCACTATTCAAACAGTAGCTTTGGTGTGAGGAGGGATGAGCCAAAATTATCTGATGTCCCTTTACATCCGATTATATGAACCAGACTCAGCAACACTCCAATTAGTTTGGCTGGACTCAAAACTAATTAAGGTGTATTATATGAAAGTTGTGTAAAATCCTTCATCGACTAAAGTTACATATCCTCTGTGCATCCCTCTGTCTATGCCACACTGACTGCAGGGCAGAGAGGGGATAGCCTGAGTGTTATTTACCCTGTAAATAATGCCTACTGAAGAGTTCTAACACACAATTACACAATGGAAACAAATGGACAGTTCAGTGCCAGGAGAGTAAAGAATAGCTCTCTGGTGGAAACCAACATGTTAAAAAAAATCTTCATTTAATGATTTTATTTGTTCTGAAACCTATATATATTAATGTGCCATCCAGTGGATTCTTTTTTTTCTGCCAGTGCTTAATAGTTATAGCCAGGCTCTTCCCTTTTGTGCATACCACTACCAATTTAAGAGAGCCCTCAGTCATCAACTAAAAACTGATATCCTCCTAATTCACAACAGCAACTGACAATCAAACTGACAAACGAATCACAATGAAGCAGATATCAAGTGAGGTTTAATATTATTGTTTTGTAATACACATAGATGTTAAGTTTCTCTATTTGTATGGAAATATGAGTTTTTTGGCTCAAATAGTAGCAAATGTGACAGTAATAGAGCACTTGTATCCCTGCAATTTTTCACCAATGAAAAAGATATCATGTCACAAAAGCCTAAGCTCTGGTGCGGACTTTAGTAAACAAACTAGGTGTGAAAAGAGCTTAGAATCTTATCCAAATTGAAGTTCTAAACTTAGCTCAAAGCTTAGTAGTGTTTAAAAAAAAATCAAACCAACCTTGGTCAAACAGATCAACCTTAGTCGATGCTCAGAGCTGAAATATCCTTATCGGTATCAGAAAACAGTGAGTGGCATTGTGCCACCTCTACACAAATGTGAAGAGTCTTATTCATACACACCTAGAAACAATCAATATCAATGTTATTATATAAAGTTATTCACTGTTTGTTTCAAACACAGTGTGTTGAATGTTAGGCTACATTGTATTTTATCGTCTCTCTGCTGATCTACGCTTCAGAATATTTAGAATAGATTTATATTGAATAGATCAGAACAAATCAGATGTTAATTGAACTGTAATAATTTAAATATTTTTCTGTGTCAAGGCCAATAAGCATTAGGTATTCAAATGATGAGTGTTTTTCATTTTTTGTCACTGAATTGTTTTGTTATGGATCATTTGGCATCAGCAGTAAAGCTGAAATATTCTCATCGTGACAACCACACTACACATACAGGCTCATTTCAGAGCATTTGCAAATGTAGTACACATAAGAACAGGTTAAGCTAAGTTGTCAGCCATTATAAGACTGTTTACAATGATGCTCATCTTTGTTTGCAGCCTAGCTCAGGAACATGAATAAAAAAGCAGCGGTTTCAGAATGCAACAATCCTGCGTTTGTCTTAACTGCTGGGTTTGACCACCGGCATGGTGAACCGACTCAGGAATAATTGATGCCTTTTGAAAAGTGGAAGCCACAGCAGCTGTGAGCTGAGTTTAAAATGATACGGTCTAAGAACACTTAAAGATCTCATGCCTACATCAATCTTGATTATTTAACCGTTGCACAATTTTATGAGCCTGAACTTTGAGAAACATGAACACCAAACATAGAACAGGAATTTAGCCATTTGATATTATTGACCTTGATATAGTTTAACAGGCATAAATAACATATATGCACGACAAATTACTCTAATCAAATTATCCTATATAAGGAATTACCATTAAATATAGAGGTCAAACCTCTAAAGTCTACGAATCACACTGTTATTGAGCCATCAGCTTTCTGTTACCTCACATCCAGCAAATAATTTCCTAGAAATGTGAAACAGGCACAAAAGATCCCATTACCTTTTATAGAATTATACATAGTCAAACCCAATGTAAAACAAACACTGTCATATAAACAAAGAATGACCACCAATTGATACCGCTTTTCATTAGTTAAGAGCATCTTAATGCTATGATGCTTCTGGCCTTGTTTCCTTGGTAGTTTACAATAAATTGTGCCTCAGTACAGACGTCTCAGCATCTTTAAAAGCCAAAACAATCAGCAAGCAGTATTCATTAAGGACTCATCCAAACAACAGATCACTCATACAAGCCTGCAAATGTTCCCACTTCCCACAATTCATTGTGTTCTATTCATCTGCATTACCCATGTAGATTTCCTATCTTCTCCATATTGTTTTTTCCTGTTAGCATGGAACATTCCTGTGAGTGACCTCTGTTCATCCCCACTTAAAACAAAAAATCATCAAATATTAAAGGTGTGTTTACGATAATGGGCAGTCAATTTTTCTCTCCTCTCATGCCACATTATTAATTCATGCGGTTAAAGCGACTTTCCAGCGATTAATGGGGATGCGCCACAGCTTGGTGAGATTGCTTTCTGAGGAAAAAGGACAGACTTTTTCAGCTGTCACGCGATACATTATCAGTCTATACTGTTGAGTGGATCTTATCTATAGAAAGCTTCATGCTGCTGAAAGCCCACACTGAGAGAGCGATTCTGAGTATTATGAGTGACAGTGGCTTAATTCTTATCAATTGTGGTCACCCATACATCAAATCAAGACCTTCAATATATAAAATTAAGTGGCATTATCTGGTTTATTACATGTAGATTTAAAATTAAGTGCTTGGTGTTTTGATGCCTAATGGATTACAGGAGCGGCACATTAACACTGCACTGCAATATCTGGGTCCAATTCAATAACTGTGTTGGCACAACGCTGGAGAGCTCCATTTTGCATTTTGTCAGAGATGAGTACTGGCAGTGAAACCTGACTGCCGTTAAAAGGCTGTACATGCTCAAAAACACCCAGTGAGATTTCAGAGATATGAACCTGAGTGTATTCAATATGACATCAAAGTACTGTTATTCTATACAATATGATTACTGCATCATCAAATTATAAATCCACAACAAAAAGTGATGCATTGTGTTGTGATTTATGTCATTAGGTTATTCTTTTAGGAATATCACCTAAATCAAGAACTTAAATTGTGTGACATGTTTTCAAGGTACCTTTTTCTCTTTAAGAATAACTTTCCATGGCAAATGTTAGATTTTGCAACATAATTAAAAAAAGAAATTCAACATGCATGTAAAGAAGAACTTTTTAAAAAGGTGAATTAGCTAACAGTCACCTTCAGTGAGAAATATGCCTTCCAGTTTAGTAGAAACTGAGCTATAAATTGTTCGCATTCGTATCGCCTTTTCCCCAAAATTCTGCTTCAAGTGAAAATGTTATGACTGCAGCCCAAACTCACACAGCCTGCTTTACACACACGCAAAGCTCAAGAGTTCTTACAAAAAACTACCATCTGATTCTGAATGAACTCCAAATGTAAGACACTGTCTGAAACAAAGCAGAAGTCAAAGATCTTTCCTAAGTCAAACACACTAAGTCAGTTTCCCAGACAGGGATTAAACCTAGACCTGGACTGCATTCTTCTTTTCAATGGAGAATCTCCAGAATTCAGAAGACTGTATAGTCCAGGACTAAACTTAATCCCTGTCTGGGAAACTAACTCAATTTGTTTAATTTAGCATATTTTCAGTGGATTTATTCTTGCATTCTGGTAAATTCAGTTTGTCAATGTTTACTGACAGACGAGAAAAATGTGAGGAAAAATACCATTAAATTTGAACGTTAACCCTATCAGAAAGCCTTCAGCTGAGATATTCTGAGATGAGGATGTAGGTAAACTCACCTGCCGCCAAGCAAAACGGCAGCAGCAGCCTGAAGACGAGTCCACACACTACCTCGCTCGCCATGGCCCAGGGGTCTCACATCCAGCTTAGTTCAAAACGTCAAAAAAGAAAACTCTTGCTATCCGGTTCAATTAAAGCAAATGAACTTGGCCGTTTTGGTTCCCTCCTTGAGTCCGAACAAGGCGGCATCGCGCTACATGAGTTCCTTTAGAGAGTCCTCGGGCTGCTTCAGTTCTCCACTTCACAGCTCACCACCGACGACTTCTCAACTTCACAGATTTCACACAGTTTCATGCTTTTCATTAAAGTGGTAGACTCACCTTGGCACAAAAAACGGAGGCAGGTTTTACTGACTCAGAACATTCAGTTTTCTGGTAAAAGTGTGATGAGTTTTCTTGCTTTTCTGTCACCGTTGGGTCAACCGACTTAACGGCCAACAGTCAACATCAACCACAGCGTTCACTGAAGTGCCGGACAAAAAAAGTTCACCGTGCTGTTTGATGGAGTAAACAGAGTAAATACTTGTAGTTGTATGTTAAATTTACTGTCAAATAAAACGTTTCGTATTTACCTCAGGCTCGGTTTCTGAGGCAGTGTTCCTCCGCACCTCAGCCAAAAACTCCACGAGGCTGCACTGACTGAAATGCTGCCCGCTCATGGGGCAATAACAAAATAATTCATACGCAATCAGCGACACAACCAATGAGAATGAGCGCGAGGGACCAGAGGGAGTTCAACTCTGACTGCGTTATTTCTTTCCCACCCGTATTCAGACAAACCCCGCCTCCTGCTATAGGATTGGCTAATAGTTTATAATTAGCGGCAGATCGATAGGTGGACGTCTTGTGAGTATAAAATACTAGCCAATCCCTGCGCAGGAGGCGGAATCGTGCCAACCAATCCCACTGAGGGAGGCGGGGCTTGCGGAATACCGGTGGGGGAAAAGCACTCAGACAGCACCAGCATTCAGAAGGAACTCCGGTTCATTAAAAATGAGAGCTTTTCTAGAGAACATTATTCCTGTCAGCCGCCTTGTTGCAGATGTATTTTCTGACAGACTAATTAATATGTAACAGAATCAGGTTTTCGCTCACATTACGGGCATTTTCCGTTTTCCAAGCGCCAAGAAAATAGTCACAGCTGGGGAAGTCTGCACTTCGCCAAGAATGTAGACGAACAATTATCATATCTCTGCGTCAGCATACATCACAATAGATCTGCTGAGAAACAGGCCACCAATTTAGATCCATTACTAAGAAATGACCATTGGGTCCTGTGTGCATTTGGCCTAAAAAGGTTTTATGTATGAAAAGCCCAGCTCTACCTTTCCAAAGGTTTCTCCAGCAGATTGTCCACAGTCACTACATTTTAGATAGAATAATATGTAGGAATTCAAACATTGTACTAGTGCTGTTAAATGGTCTGTAAAATGGGGCCTGCAAATTACTGATAAAAATCCATTAACGCCAAATAGGCTCCATAGAGTATGGACAAGCTAGTGCTTCTTCTAAAAGTCTATTTTTCTCTCTCTATAAGCTCTCTCTTTCTCTTGATCTGCTGTGATATAAAACCTTTTAAACTTATGTTAAAAATAAGTGTGCCGCTTCATTTAGTTTAAAGCTTAAGTAAGGTGTTGGAGATGTGGGGAACAGAGCTCATCCAAGGACCAGTCATAAGCAACCCAAAGAATATATATATATACAGACAGAGACCACCTGTCATGTCCTCTGGAAGAACCACCTATCAGCGATCAGCTTCCTTGGATTACTGATCATCAACCCCTCCTGTTTACACACATCTGATTCACACTTACTCAGCCCACAAATATACAGACTTTTGTTCATGCTCTTTGCAAGGTATTGCCACTCAGTGTCAGTTCCTAGCCATTTAGACTTTTTACAGCCGCTTCACTGTTTTTTGACTCCCTGCCTGTTTTGACCCTGATCATGATTTTTCCCTTTGTATTTTGTACAATGGACCTTTCTATATCCTGTTGGATATTTTTGGACTGTATTAACTGCTCATCTTGTTACTTTGTGTCTTTTTTTATTATTGATATTATTATTAAACTCTGCATCCGTAACATGTGCTGTCTTACACCACCCATTTATTTTATTTCCAGTCAAAATCGTGTTTGGGTATAAGTTAATAATTTTTTAGCATGAGCATCATACTAGAACATATTGTACTTATGCAGTTTCAACACTAGTTTAACCCCTTAAAATTCCAGGCTTATTACATACCAAGGCTTATTATTCTGTAACTACAGGGACTTCAAAGCAAACTGGTTGAGCTGTTCTCAGGTTATAGAAATGTATAATAAAACTTTGGGCCTGCTGGCAAGCTGTGGCCATTTAAGGGGTTAATTGAACAATGTATCCATACAACAAAATATCCATACATGTCATCAAAATGTTCTCAGTGTGATGCAAACTTTGTTTTAATATTAAGTTACTAATGGCTTTGATTAGGAAGGAATAACTGATGTTACATTTTGTTGCTTCTACATTATGTTGTAAACTATTTGAAGACCACTTTTAGGCATAGGATTACATAATCACTTTCTTTTTTTCCAAAAGCAATTAGGCTGCTGTATCTAACTTCTCTGCAGCTTTTAGTGTCTAACAACTTCCTCACGGCCAATAATAGATACACTAGTTTTTTCTATTTTATTTGGTACATCAGCTTATGAGTCGAGCTCATCTGATCGCACTTGATGGCTATCGCTGTAGTGGCCTTGAATAAGGCACCAAACCCATCTTCAAAAGGACCACCCTTACAGTGACTTCATATTTGTTACTCTGTTGAAAAGCTTTGGCTAAATGTACAGCTGTCATAATTTATTACTTTATTTATACAAATGCTTATTACAAACTTTACTTTTTGTAATAGCTGTATAAAACCATACACACATATAGGGGTGGGATACTTTCAGACTTTTTCAAAATTCACAATACACATCATAATATTTTTGTTCTGTGACTTACTAAGTTGGAACAGACAAAATAGAACCTGTAGTGCCATATTTAAAAAAAATACAACAACAATAACAATAAATCTACAATTACAATGATTTTATTCCGTGTTTTACAAACTGTACTGAACTAAATCCAACTAAACAGGTGTAATTATGCTCACTTTATTGTGAAATATGCAGTTAGTCAGTGTTCTTTAGGTATTAGCGATGTCCACAAGATGCTTAGAAAAGTGTATAATGAAATAATTTATTATGATAACAATAGTCATTTTGCCCACCCCTACATACGTATTAATTGTATAAATCACTGTCATGTTAAAACCATGCATCTCTATTTTTTCTACATCAACTGTCCTTTACACTGTGTAAAACCTTTCATAATTAAAAAATGTAAATATAATTTTATTATATTAATTTATATTAAAAGTTAAAAATGTTCTTGCCTTTTCTTGTAAAGTTACTATGCCTTTGCCTTTATTACAGCTTCTGTTCTTTTTGGAAGACTTGCTTTCAGTTTTACAAACAAAAATGCAGGGATATTTTTCCAGACCTCCAAAGTTCAGTCGTATAAGTTACATTTTCTGCTTCTCACAGTCCAAAGCCAATTATAACTTTATACTCATCGGAAAAACCCTACTCAATATCTCAGCTGTCCAGTTTGGTGTTCTAGTGCTAATTTTCTTCTTTTTTGTCTATTTCCTTATCTCAGAAATGGTTTCCTGACTGCTACACATCCTTTCAGACCCACAGTGTTGAGGTGTCTTTTCACAGTGGAAGGAGGGACAGAAACACCTGTGGATTTTTTTTATCTGAAGCAAGAGTGGAGCTTTTTTTTCGTTGAGACAACTAAATTGGGCAGAAAAATCGGGTAAAAATTAAAGCACATAAGAAAGAAATTTGCAAGTCAGCTAAGGTGAGTTTGAGGCATGTAAATGTAAATAAAAGAAAGCAGTAAATGCACTCACTGAGACACCGTGGGGCTTATAAAAATAAAAACGTTTTAACTTCTAACTTGCTCCAGTACTTGTTTAAAGGAAAGTGCCAATGTTTGTGTATTTGTTAGTTATGTAGCTAATTCTAACATTTTTAGCATGTATGCTAGCAGAGCTTTTTTTTGCTTATATTTTCACTCTAGGGTAGCTTTGCTTGACTATACATGATTATGTAGATTCTTTGTGTGAGTGTTTGGGCACAACAGTAGTGTATCATTTCATCAGTACAACACGAATTAGCTACTAATCAAACTTAGCTGGAAAGCAGATCAGCTAATCAGCAAATGTGGCCACTTTAGACTTGTTCTGTAAAAGTAGCATTCAATGGATAATCGCCAGCTGAAATTTCATGATCGTGACAGGCCTAACTGTAGTTTAACAGGGGTTTTAAGATTGGAAGGATGGAACAGCTAAAGTGATAGTAGCGTGCACAAAAGTAAGGAGTAGACAAAATAAATACTGATAGATTTGCTGTTATAATGTTGGAGGCCTTTGTGTGATTTTCTGTTAAAACTATATTTTCTGCTTTTTGTCTAACACTAAAAAAATAAATAACTTGTACTTAATGGGTCATTTTGACTGAAAATTAAAGAAACGAAAGGGTGGTTATCTTAAGTATGCTTTCTAGATATGCAAATACTTTCCATCAGGGGAAAGGTTCAAAATGAAAATGATAATAAAGGAACTGATTTCCAGGCTGCCCCTCATTGAAAACAATATTTATAATGATAATTTTAAGTGTAGATCATTTAGAAGAAAAAAAATCTAAGAACAACTGATATAAAAAAGCTTCTAAATTTAGGAGTTACATGTATGCACTTGCTTGAAACACGAGGAACCCTTCAAAAATACTATCATTTGACTAAATCTCATGAGTCCAACCAACTCTACACTTCTGAGTGAAGAATGAAGGCAAAGTAATTAAGTACTGACTCAGAGAACCAATCTGGATCATCTGCATGACCATTCTTTGGTTACAGCAGTTTGAAGTTGCTGTGGGCATTGACATTTTTCATACTTCCTATAGCACATGGGTAAAATAAATAATTCTATTTTTCTCCCAGCAAACTCCACCATGGCTGCTGTTGCAGAGGAGACACTGATCCCAACAATCTCGAACAAACCAACCACACTCCAGACGATCAAGATCCATAGGGGAAGATGTTCATGCAGAATGATCTCACTCACCCCCCCGCCCGTTAACACAGCTACTTTACTCAGGCAATTCTCTTCAGGAAGCAAAGGATGCA